ATTAACCATTTCTTAAGTCATTATCTCTATATAATTTGGCTTCAAAAAGTTTGTGTAAAAGTGGATTTAAAAAATACTGGAAATTTTCACAAAATTTTTGAAGCCTCTTCATATATCACTGGTAATATTATTTTATTTTAATGAAGATAATAAGAACAGTGTCTTGAATATTAATTAAGCTTTTGAATGAAGAATCCCTAAATTATTGCAAGAAAATTTTAGTATGTATGTTGCTGTTGCTGTTGTTTGCCGTGAAGTCAGTTCCTATCTTTATAGAGTCCCTGTATAGAGTTTCTGAGGCTATATCTTTATGGAAGCAGAAAGTCTCATTTATAGTATGTATGGACTGTAGGATCAGAACTGAACTGTCAACCACAAGGTTAGAAATTCAAACCTACCAGCTTCTCCTCAGAAACCCTATACAGGATTGCTGTGAATTGTAACCAGCTCAACAATAATAGCAACATTGTATGTATATTAAGAAATAATCTGAAATCATAGAATTATAACTTCATACTTAAAATGTTTCTGGTTTAGAGAACCTAATTGTGCTTGTTTTCTATGTCATCTAAACTTATCAAAATACTACTGATATTTTTTTGAGGAAAGCAAAGAGGAAATGTCCAGGGAGGTTTGTAGATAGAGAAGAGTCAAAGATTTAAACTGGCAGTGCCAGTGTACAGAAATGTGGAAGGTCAACTCAAGTGAAGAATTCATCTTGAATCCTAAGATAGCCCTTTTAGTGTCTGATCAGTTTTGTGTTTTGTCTGGCTGCTGATTCCCCTGATCCCATAAGAACAAAGGAAAAAGAACAAGATCTGAATCTGGGATTGCCAGAAGACAGTTGGCTTAACTCAGTATAGTCTCATTTTAAAAATGTGGCAGCAGTGCTCAAAAGCCATGAATGGAAGAATTTAATAGGACTTAGAATTTCTTACTTAAATGTATTTTTATTGTGATTAAGAATATAGATAACAAATACTTGCCAATTTTTGCATATGCAGCTCAGTGACATTTGTTATGTTCCTTGTGTTGTGTCAGCACCCCTGCTGTCCTACTCTGAATCTTTCCACCACCATTAACAGACGCTCAGTGCCACTTAGGCAGTGACCTTCCATTTCCCCCTCTCTCCCATCCCTGGTAACTGCTAAGAAGTCTTGTTAATATAAAGGTGGTGCAGGTAGTGTGTCTTGGAGTTGGTTCCTACTCATAGCGAACCTGCATAGAATTTCTGAGGCTGGAAATCTTTATGGGAGCAGAAAGCCTCATCTTT